GAGATCAGCTTAAGACGTGTGCTGATAAAACATCAGAGGTTACCATAACACACAGTGTTGTTTGGCGTGTTAGAATTGCCATCTGGAAATGCCTTTTGTTCAGACAAAGGCAGGATGAAGTGTTCCCCCATACAGAGTTCCCACAGTTAATGTGTTTGTACTAGCCAGTCAAGTGAGTTTTGCTTAGCAGCAGCTCAAAACGGGCCGTATATTTTCTTGTCCCGTCATTGTTAATTCATCAGGCACAATATGAGAGGGAAGACAGAAATATGTAGTGTTAAGTCAAGCAGAACAGCTCTGCTCTTCCATAAAATCATAACTCCAAGAGGCAAGTGAGCTTTCCGTTGAAGATTCCGCTTGACGGTCTCTAGACTTGCGCCTGGTTTGTCTCCCAAGCTTGAAACACTGAAGCGCTCCCCTGGATTTATTTTCCTGGGACTCCAATAAGCCAGCTGGAATACTGCCTAATCCAATTTGAAGATGGTTATGAATACGTCTGTATTGAATGTATTAAACACTCAGCATGTGTAACATGGGTCTGCTAATTCAAGAAGAACAAGTGCTGATCTTTCAGCAGGAAACATTTATTAACATCTTAATGTTTACATTAAAATTAATCTCGTATTAACATTGCATATCATGCTGTTTAAAATGAAGTGCTGATCTATGGCGAGGGTTGAAGCTAAGAATATGCCTCGTGTAGAAGCTTTTGTTTAGTTAGTAAGGAATCCTTGTCAGTTGTCTGAATCAGTTCATAGTGAGATCGTTTAGTCATTTTACAAATTTACATTCGTAGGTCGGAGACCAGATACATGGTTAAAGGAATTGCTCACCCAAAAGTGAACATTTGTTGAAAATGTACTCACCCCTAGACCATCCGAGATGTAGTTTGTTTATTCATTGTAACAGGTTTGGAAAATTTCTAGCATTACATCAGTTGCTCAGCAGTGGATCCTCTGCAGTGAATGGGTGCCGTCAGAATGAGAGTCCAAACAGCTGATAAAAACATCACAATAAGTAATCCACAGCACTCCAGTCCATCAATTAACATCTTGTGAACCAAAAAGCTGCGTGTTTGTAAGAAACAAATCCATCAAGGCATTCTAACGATTGTAAATGGTGCTTGATCTGTGCACATTTCTCTTCTGATTCAGATGAGAAGACTTTTCCATGGGAGAAAGCAATATTATGGATAAAAGTGAAAAACGTCTTAATGATGAATTTGTTTATTACAAACACACAGCTTTGCACTTCAGAAGACTTTAGTTGATGGACTGGAGTCTTGTGAATTACTTGTGGAGTATTGCTAGCAGCTCTTTGCACATTCTGACGGCATCCATTCACTGCAGAGGATCCATTGATGAGCAAATGATGTAATGCTAAATTTCTCCAAATCTGTTTCAATGAAGAAACTAATTCCTTTACATTTTGGATGGCCTGAGGATGAGTAAACTGTCAGCCAATTTTTATTTTTGGGTTAACTTTTCCTTTAAAGGAGCAATTCACCCCAAAATTATAATTTACTCACCCACTTCTTGTTCCAAACACAAAAGAAGATGTTTGGAAGAAAGTCATTCATTTAATGGATGAAATAACTTTTTGAAATGTCATTTTCGAAATCAAATGTCATCAAAATATCAAGTCATACAGGTTGGGAATGATATGAGGGTGAGTAAATGATGACATTTTTGTTATTTTTGGTTGAACTACAAACAAAGCCCTCCCAGCAAAAGTTTTCAAAAACAGCTCCAGTTTTCTCAACTTGTTGTCTCTTCCATATGGAAAGAATAGTTTGCTTGGCTGCGCCTACAAACTTTTAGGATGACTTCCAGTGGAGGAGAATGCCAAACAGTGTTCCAGCCCAGAATAATCCTGTTCTTATAAGAACTGAGCCGTATGTCAAGGGCAGTGCGTTTGCAGGTTTGAGTCCTGTCAGGGTTATATAAAGGTCCAAACAATGTGTCTCAGTACAACGCCTGTGGTGTTGGAGAAAGCAGATGGTCCTGTGCGTCCTACATAGACTGCTTTTCCTCTGTTAAGTGAAGCAGAAACGCTCTTATTTTTCATCTGCTGTTAGTGCTGATTGACTTGTTGGCTATTTTTATGCCGTACCCATGGTATTCAGAGGACAACACATTCCTTGATGTTTCTAGTAGTAATTGCTAAAACAAACATCACTATTACTTTTGCTCATATTTGTGGATTGGGATTTAAAACATTCCAAAAACTTTTTTTGTTTGTTTAATCTTCATTAAATTGAAGACTTGAAATCATCTCTTGTTAGTTTGCGAAGAGTTTAAGTAAAATAATTCTTGTTTTTTTTAAAGACATTAAAAATTTTATTCAGCAAAGATGCATTAAATTGATCAAAAGTGACAGTGAAGACATTTATAATGTTACAAATGATTTTCATTTCAAAATACATGTCTTTTTTCATCAGAGAATCCTTTAAACACATCCATCATGGTTTCCACAAAAATATTAAGTAGCACAACTGTTTTCGACATTGATAATAGTAAATATTTCTTGAGCAGCAAATCAGGATATTAGAATGATTTCTGAAGGATCATGTGACACTGAAGACTGGAGGAATGATGCTGAAAATTCAGCTTTGCATCACGGGACTAAATTACATTTTAAAATATATGAATACAATTTCACAAGATTACTGTTGTTACTTTATTTTTTGGTCAAATAAATGACCATACAGAATAAGCTTGGTGAGCTTAATAGATTTCTTTCAAAAACATAAATTCCTATGGCCCCTTTTTAAACCCTGTACATTTCATGTTCTTTTGAGATAGTTTGCCTAATTTTATTTAGCTTTTTAGCTGCCAATAAAAGTGTATTACTCCCAGTTCAGTTTAAAACCATTCAGCAGAATTTTGCTCATGTTTGTCCCCCCCAAAAATCAGTGCAGGAAATGCATAAGTCTGCACATTCCATCTAGGCCTGCTTTTAACATTTGGATTCAATCTATACAGCCGTTCCTGCAAAGAAGTGCTGCAGGTAAATATGAAATGGAAATCAAACCTCTTATGTGTCCAGGCTTGCTTTACATTTCTCAGACAGCTCAGCAGTGGAATATCTCACTGTCAACATCAGAAACCTGCATGTGTTTAGCTTCAAAGTGAGTCAGCATGGGGGACGGTAATGCAAGGTGTCTCACCAAACCGTATTAAACCATCCAGCCACGATAACAGCCCATGAATGTGAATGCAGTCACGTACAATTATCACGTACATAAGAACTGCGTTTTGAGAATAATTCACAGTTACTCAAGAACAGTAGTGGGTTGAGAATTGAGAAGTTCCACAGTGATAATTTAAGATTCTGAAATCTATATCTTGTTGAGGGGCAGTGGGAGACACATCGATATGAGTTTATTGACTTGCATTTTAGTCTGAATTGGGTTAGAATAAGCAAGTCAGGTGATTGTCAGTTCATTGCTGTTCAGTCAGTGGACTGGGAAGAATAAATGCAGATGCTCGCAATATATCTGCACAGATTCTCTGTCATCCAGGTCATCTGCATTGGATAAATGTGTTGAGGAGCATCTGGACTAGTTTTTCATTTAAGATATTCAACTCACCCATGTGTCGTCTTGAACAGATGACAAATGGTGCACATTTACTACATTTATCTTCATTACATTGTGACATTTTGAGACTGGCAGATTGAAGTTAAATACAAATTAAAATAAAAAGCAATAATGTAAAGCTTTTTTTGAAAAAGAATAAAAAATGTATAATGTAAATGTATAAAAAGTTGAATACAAAGGTGAAATAAAAATAATTTGTTTATGTGAAGTTTAATATAAATTGTCAGCCTGAGTCTGTGTATCTCTAATGCGATTTTTTACAATATTATAAAATATATAGTTAAATAAAAATAAAAATAAATTATGTAATGTAAAGTTTTTTAAAAATTTGTAGTTAATTAAAATATGAAATAAAAACATTTGTTATTTTCATTTGTATGTAACTTGATATACCCCAATCAAGATGGGCCACGTATTTTGTCCCACAAAGGATTCACGATAAAGTTGTTCATTATGACAGCTTCCATGTTGTGTATCTCTTGTTTTTTTTTTTCACACACTTAGTTTCGTAATCTTGCAAGTGTTCTCCCAAACTCCCTCCTGTTGTTTTAACAATCCGCAAGCTTGGTTCCCATAAAACCCCCTCCTTTTTTAATGTAATCTAGGTCCCATGATCCTCCTTATTGTAGGACTGAGTAAATCTGAGACATTATCCTCACTGATCTCATGCTTCCTATGAATGGACGGATGACTACAGGGGTTCTCCTGGGATTTCACTGATCCTTCCTCTGTGCTGTTTAACTCCATGTTTAGCCTCCATTGCTCTTTTGGCTTTTGTACGTCTGCTGACCCAGAAGATTATTGTGACACAGACGCTGTGGATTTACCCTTGAATCCATTGCTGTCTCAGATGTTTGCATGTGGTGCAATAAGTGTGCATATATTTGTTAATACTGACAAAAAAAAAAAAAAGAATATTTAGTTGGAGCTACAGTGCAAACAAGATTAAGATATATATTTCTGCTATGTGGCAAAGAGGTAAAAATGCCAATAATAAAATTTAAATGCACTTGCTGGTTAGCTGGTTCCTTGCCTTTGGTCCTCATTAATTTTGATTAAATGCATACAGCAAGTTGCATTTGCACATTGTCACAGGCTGTAATCTTATTTCCAAAGGCCACGGTTATCAGTGTGTCACCTGCTGTCATATTTAACAGATAGCTGCCTGTTTTACAGCAGGACTGAGTAGGAGCTCTTCACACATGCAAAAGAGCTCTGCAGGATGAGAGGCTTCAGTCACCTGCTGTGAATGAGGATCGGGGCGATCTTTATGCCTGCCCCTCGTCATCAGCTCTGTAGTTTCATCCTGTTGCCAGCTGTCTATCATACAGATGTTTCAAAAGTGTCAAAAATGTTCATTCAATCTCTCTTTCTCTTGTTTTTTTTTTCTCTTTTGAAGACATGGGACACGTTGTGCTGGAGAGGTTGCTGCTGTTGCCAACAATGGCATCTGTGGTGTCGGAGTGGCCTATAATGCAAAGATCGGAGGTGAGTTGGCATATTTAACTCACATTTTCCATGTTTCATCACGTACAGTCTATTCTATCAGCGCACACCCCGTCCATTCCAACATTTGAATTGCAAAACACCTCTGTGAAGCATCAGATTAGCTCTTGTCTCTGTGTGTTAAACCATATGAGAACTCTTCTGTACCGAGAGCACTTTGAAAGAGGAACTCCATTAGCAATGGCTTCATGAGCTCAAGTGGGACAGTTATCACAGGCTCCAGCATAGGTCCCTGTGAGCCAAAGATTTGGACGCAAGCATATGTAATCCCTTTAATTGGCTGAGGTGCTTTTATCCTGTTCAGTGCAGATTTTGTTTCATTACTCTTCTCTACGCTGCCTGCTGTCTACGGTCTTGGACTTCACAGGACATGCGATAAATGTTATTAATAATGGTTTGTTTCTAAATCGTCTCCAAGAACTGTTAGCCATCTGCCTATAGTTGAATCTTAGCTATTTAGATTAGCAATAAGGTATAATGTTTCACCTTAAAGGGAAAACTCACCAAAACATGCAAATTGTCATTATTTATTCACCCTTATGTTGTTCGAAATACTGTTTGACTTTTATTCTTTGGTTGAACACAAGGAGATGTTAAGCAGAATTTATGGCTGCTCTTTTCCAATGCGATAACTGCTTAAAGTAAGATTTGAGATCTGTTCTACCTCAAAGCCATCGTTTGACTGCAGAAGACTTATAGTGTTTCTTGGAAGAAAATAAAAATCATATTGGTTTGAAACAGCATGAGAGTGAATACATAATGACAGAATTTTCATTTTGGGCGATTTAACTCTTTAACTTCACCACTAATACTACACCACTTCACCACTACTACAGAATAGATGATTATGTAATATATTTATGTTATGTTATATAACGTGTATTATGAGGTCACCCTGGCTCTACACATCCACAGCCATTAGTAACATTTTCAAGAACCGACTAATCAGACAACATTTACGTTGTGGTCTGTTCCAAGGGAAATTGCTTTTAATGACACCCAGGGTTTTTTGTTTTTTTTTACCTTGTGTGTTTTTTCCAATTTATCATTCATGCTAGTGATTGTTATTAGTGGTGTTTGCCAAGGCAAGCATCACTGTTATTACTAGTGCTCATACTTAGTGGTTTGCTGAAATCCCTAACCATAGGTATTAAACTGCAACACACAAGTCACCCAGCACTTGTTTGTGTTACGTGCATGAGCGATATGTTAAATCATGCGACTTTTTGAGTAGAGGAGTTCTGTTATTTTTTGATGCATTTGAATTTATGATGCAATTTGTGTGATAAATATGGGCAAAAAGACCTGTATACTAACCATATCTAGGGACAGGGCTGGATTCATAAATAATTTTTAAGAATAAAATTCTACTTAACTTTATTCTTAAGTCAGAAAATAAGAATAAAATAGCAGTTAAGTTACAACACTAGATAATACATATTACTATTACTAGGGATGTGCATGAGTACTCTGAAGTGACACCATTGATTGATAGCGTAATGATAAATGACAGTGATTGGTCATTGATCAGTCAGTGAATGCAACAGAGAACTCCATCGTGAGATAGGCTTTTCAAAAAGAACTATTTAAAATATTCGGCACATAAAAAAAAACAAAAAAAAACAAAAACAGTGTGCACTTATGATTATTACGATAATAACATCAGAACTTGCAGATGTCCAAATCGCCAAAGTTATTTTTTTAAAGGTTCTTAAGAAATTATTCAGAATTTCTAAATTTTTTGTTTAATGTCTTCATGAACAACCACTGTGGTCTATTCACTTGACTTTATTTATAGTATTTTACATATTAGGGATATGTATCTTTGGTGTCTTTTGCATTATCTTGTTTCCACTTATTCCTGTATATTTAAATGTACCATACTGTTGTTTCTCTTTTTGGAAATTACATTTATTAAAGTGAATGCCACTTTAGAATTAAAACAAAATAATCCACTTAGGAAAATTGTTAGAAACTTCTGAACTGCTTTAAGCTTTTCATGAATCCGGGACCAAAATATTATAGAGACTTTGCGTGGGCTCTGTTGAATCTATTTTTATTTATTTATTTAATTTTATTTGGGTTGTGCATTTTCTGCAGACACTAAATGTGTGCTACATTTCAAATCTTCCCTTTTACGCAGATGGATAATGCATTATGGGTAAAGTCCATTTCTCTTTTGTCGGCTCTGCCTTTGTTGCTCTCTAAAGCAGCTGTTTTTGAATTAGCCTCCTAATGAGAAGCAGTGGAGGGTAAGTAGCCTTGCTGTGCCCATTTCACCTTGAATCCAGGGGGAAATCTGTGCTTAATAAGCAGCAGATACTACTCCTTTAGGGGTAGTATGGGGACAGAGAGAACTGAAGGTTTTTGGACAGCTGAGCTGTAATGTCGACCCAAACTGGCAGGCAGTGCCTTCTACTGCAGGAAAGCTCAACGAGGAGATGGCAGCACGCTAGCAGAGATGGCACACAACACGGTTAATTCCTCTGCCAGGACTCATTAAGCCAGAATATTGGTTTGGAAGACTTGGTTGGAGGAAACAGTAGAGTCCATTGTTGGAAATTGCTTTATAACAAATAAAACTGAGGTTTCTTGTTGCGTTTTTGAGGGGAGGTAGATTATTTGTATTTACTAGAGCCTGAATAAAAAAATCCCGTCTTTTGTTACCACAGTGCAGCCGTTTATATCTGTCATGCCTTTCTCATTTCCTGGAAAGTAATCATAGCCAGCTTTCTCTTTGTCCTACAGGGATATTTGGGACTTTTGGAATGTAGATATGGGATAAAAACATTAAGCCTTTCCAAGATGTAGTGCTGTATTTTCCTGTAGTTGTGGGTTTGTTTGCAGTACTGTCTGCACCAATGCTCTCGGATTGCTTTGGAAAACCTGAAACGACTGAACTTTTGTTTATTTGCACTAACCCGTATGAGGGCAGCCTTGAGTAACCTCGCCCCCTTGTGTATCAAAGAAGTGATTCATATTGTTTTGAAGATGTTTGACTCTGATTTCTCATCTTTTTACCACTTTAAAATCTAAGAGCTCTTGGCAGAATGTGCTCTCTTTTTTACCCAAGGCTGAGATAACATTCTGATGCCGGGATCTCAATAACTCAACACCTTTGACATTTTGGACTAAACACTCTGGCTCGTTCCCAAACCCCCAATTCGGTTTAAGATTCTCTTTTGTACAGGGTAGTGGAAAAAGATAAGATGGTCTCCTCTGTTGTGAAGCGTATGTAAAAAGATGTTTGAAAGAGAAGAATGTAGCCACTTCTCACCTTTGAATGAACTCCAAATTCGAACATGAACGCGCATGCACTCATCTTTTTCCTTTGAAAGGAACTTTTATATGCAGCCCTGTCTGTCTGTGCACCTCATCCCTTTCATGCTGCAAGTTATATGTGAGCATTAGATGTTAAATATTTAGCAAACAAGAAAGATCTCTATCATATGGGATTTTTAGTGGGGTTGTTCATAGAGGCTGCTTTCTATACAGCCTTTCTGTATGTTAGGTACGTTATATCGCTCCCACAGTGGTAATCTATATACTCTATATAATCTATATACTTCTCAAAGAAAATATAGATTCTGGTGGTGGGTGGCTAATTAAATATTTGACAGGCTAGTATTTAAATGTCACAGCTCTAGTATTGTTTTTAAGTTTTGGTTTATAGTATTTATATTAATATACACATTTAAAGATGACTGAAAATATAATGAAAATTTGTTTAGAGTTTATGCAATGTTTAAAGTAAAGCACCAGTTTTGAGTATTTTATATATTTATTTATAGTATATTTATATTATTGTTATATTTATATTTTGTTTCATTAAATATTTATTTATATTTTTATATTTATGACATGTAAATTGCAGTATGTAGACTACAGTTCAAAAGTTTTTTTTTTGTTTTTTTTTTTAAAGAAAATGTTACTTTTATTCCGCAAAGACACGTTAAATTGATCAAAAGTATTGATCAAAATATTGATCAATAAGACATTTATAATGTTCCAACAAATAATCTATTTCAAATAAATGGTTGCAGATAAATACTAATTAAAAAAACATGCTTTTTTTCATGGAAACAAAATGATGCTGTCTTATTTTTTTTTTTGTTAAAGTTATTAAGCACTTATTTAAACTCTGAAGAACCTCTCATCACACATTTCTTAGCCCAGTATTAAATGTAGCTTTCGATGACATACAGTATCAGACACAGACATTTTGGCATTTCTATCTGAATTCTCCATTTCTACAAATATCACAGTAAATCTGGATAATATTGAATCATTTACTGAAAAAAAAAATCACGCAATCTGATTGCATCCCTCTCCATGCTTTCCAGTGCCAAGCTCAACAGCTTGATTGATTGATGAATTTTTCCCCTACCATTTTTCCCCTACTATCCTATTTTTTTCTCACTCTCTCTGAACGTAAAGTGCTTGTAATGGACAGTGAATCTTACCAGTTTACTATCTCATCTAAATACAGGCATTAAATAATCGGGCTGCAGTTTGGAGGTAATGTAAGATGTAGCATTTACAGGTACAGTATATTTGTGTGTGATTTGCTCTCTGTCCCATGCTCTAATGTGTTTTATGTTTTGTGTTTTACAGGTGTGCGCATGTTGGATGGAGAGGTCACTGATGTGGTGGAAGCTCAGTCCCTCAGTCTCAACCCACAGCACATCGACATCTACAGCGCCAGCTGGGGACCCGAAGACGACGGCAAAACGGTGGACGGACCTGCAAAGCTGGCCAAAGAGGCTTTCCTACGCGGCGTAATGGAGGTTTGGCTTTTCTAATCTGAACTTATTGCACTACTTTGTCATTTAGCTAATGTAAGAAGAAATATTCCTTGTGGTGCTGAAAGGGGCTATATTCTGCACTTTTGGTTCATTTTATTGTTCCCTGGAAGGCTATTTATATTCCTTTTCATAATTTATATTTCTTGTCAAAGAATTTTCCTCCCTCTCTATGCCCATTAGAATTTATTGGGCTGCATTACTGTAACTTTAAAGGCCTGTTCACACCAAGGACGATAACTATAATGATAACAGTAACAATATTGCTTTAAAAGTCCACACCACAACTATAACAGCACAGAGGAACAACATCTTTGGAATCACTTCCAAATAAATTTTTTCCTGCTGATGAAAAATTAAAACATTAGAATCTATTCTATTTTAAAGAACGTGAGCATTTAAAGTGCCAGATGACATAGCAGTGTGCACTTAATAAACAGAACATTATTGCGCATTGGTGTGGACGCTAATGTAGTTACAGTTATCTTTATAACTGCCGTTCTTGGTGTGAACAGGCCTTAAGACTTATCTAAATGATATGTATATTTAAATGGTGTATTATCATTGGCTAAATTTACATGCCAGCGTAGTTGGACCACATGTGAGATTATTAAATGTATTAAACAGCTAATGTTTTAAAACGTTAAATTGGGTTAATGCATTAAAGACATTTCGGTTTAATTTGTTTTTGTGTATATATATATATATATACTGTATATTTTTACTTCCTTTAAAAGGGACTTAATGCATTAATTACAGAAATTATAAATTCATTGTGAATAATGAATCTTTCCCCAGTGTGTGTTACATATACTGATGCTGTATAATTAGTGTGACGTTTTCTGGCATTAGTCATTTGAGGCTGTTTATTTATTGCCTATGGTTTTGATTTAGCATCGATACCCAGGTACCAGAGCATGACGCCATATCGAAGCCTAAATTTTTCACTCGGGTGGACCGGAGAGGAAGTTTTGCGCTGTGAATGTCAACATAAAACCCATTTCAAAAAGAGCAGCAAAGAGGTCCTGTTTTCCATGACATGTACAATTGCTTCTGTGACTCGTGGGCTATTTTTGCTGTTTCCTGCCATCATCTGCATCAGTTGGTCTGTGCCACAAACAGTAGACTTGTTTTCATTGATATTCTTGTGCTGAGATGGTCTAAATTTGCCTCTCTTAACCTTGAACTTTTACCAGCAGCGGCATTTAAGAGGGCAGAAATTTGCAGGTCAAATGAATTAAGTGGATTTTTCTTATTTGCTTTGAAGTTAGCGATGTCAGGGGGGCTGTGGAAGGGATGCTCTGTATTTGATTTTGGCACACTTCATTTGCGAGTGCCTTGAGTCATAAAAGCACTTACTAGTCAGAGCGAAGTATGTTTAATTTAAATGTCACATTAAATAGCAATTTTCACAGAGATATCTTCATGTGGATTTTCCAGAGCGTGAACAGTATTGACATTCTTAATACCTAATTACTTAACGCCATTTGAGCTAAACTGCTATCATGCGCGGGGTAACGGAACCGCATTCGTTTCAGCCCTTCACTCACACATGACCGTGCTCTGGGGTTGTAAAACTGGCTGAGGCCCAGCTAAAGGACAATGCAGGAGAGCCGTGCCAAGACGCTACCTACCGCAGTGTGTCGTGGATGGATTTTATAGGAGCAGACCTTTTATAGAAAGATTCTGAGAGGCGATTAAGTACGCAAGACCACTTTCATCACTTAAAGGAATAGTTCATCCTAATATTGAAAATTCTGTCATCATTTGCTCACCCTCATGTTGCCCCAAATCTGTATGGCTTACTTGCTTCTGTGGAGCAAAAGAAAATATTATTACAAATTTCTCTGGAGTTTTTTTGTTGTTCTTGCTGCTGCTGTTGTTTTTTGATTATTTTAAATGTAAGTGCATAGTAGTTAAGGCCGCTTAATATAAAGTGATACTGTATCATTGATATACTGTTATAGTTTTGAATGCATTATTTTGTATTTTCTATTTTAGTATACTTAATAAACTAAAATAAACTAAATGAAAGTAAACTAAATGAAAATCAGAAATGTTGTCTTGACTACTAGCTTAAATTAAATACGTTTTTTTTTTTTATATCAGTTAATTTTATTTCAGTAATGTGCAAGCACTCTTAACCACAACTATGCTATTTATTTTAACAATATCACTGTTATTGTTTGTTTTCTCCGTTTACAGTATGTTTGATTATCCATTATCAAAAACTGTGATTCGTTAAATTCATTCAATGAATAATAATTAGTGCTGTCAAACAATTAATCGCGATTAATCACATCCAAAATAAAAGTTTTTGTTTACATAATATATGTATGTATGTGTACTGTGTATATTTATTATGTATATAAACACACATAGAGTATATATATATTTAAAATATTTACATGTGTATATATATTTATATATTTATATTCTTATATTTTATATTATACATAAATATATTTAATATATAAACACTACATATTTTTCTTAAATATATACATGCATGTGTTTATATACATAATAAATATACACAGTACACACACACACATGTAAACAAAAACTTTAAATTATTTTGAATGCGATTAATTGTTTGACAGCACTAATAATAATAGGTATTTATTTGATTTAGTTTATTTATTAGATCTGTAGCATAGATGCTTTGTGCATAATTGGTTCCAAATGTGAGTGATCACATTAAAATTACTGAATTATGTTGGGTTGTTCTTTTAAAAGAACAGATGGTGAGAGCAGTAAGAATTTCCCTGTCACTGTTCCTCTAAATAAGTGACAAGGACCAAAAAATAAAAAATAAGCTTGAACTTTTCCCTATCCATATTTTCTAGCCATTGTTTCTGGTGTCCACATCATGAGCGTTCACACGTGCCAGCAGTCAGATTTGTTTGGGAAACAAGATCCATGTTGCGTGGAGAAGGCCAATGCAAATGGGGCTCTGGTCTGTGTAAACAGCCTCGCTGAATAGATGCCCACAATCAAGCAGGTGTGTGCTGTAACAGAGAGTGAACTCTCAAAGACGCAGCCAAACTTTGCACTGCAGACTTTCTCAGCAGGCTATTTTATTTGGTGCATTGTTCAAATTTGTAAGGTACAGTAAAGCACCGTATAAAAAAAGCAACGATCAAACGTAACAAGCAAACAGCATCTGACTCAAATTATTTGCACTGTTAGCCTTTCCTTATGGCGACATGGTGAAATGAAAGTCACGCGGTTATTCAAACATGCCTCGTTAATGCGATGCGTGTATTTTTCACGAGCTCATTATCGGTTCTGACAGTTTGCTGTTGCATTACTGCGCTTCATCTGAGAAGTAGACCGCAAAAGCCTGGTGCTGTTTGCGTCTTTCATTTGTGCCTGAAAATAAACATGCATGATTAATGACTTGCGAACATTAGCGCCATCCCACAAGGTCCTTTTAAAAGCATCTGGCCCAGCAATCGAAACCATGATAGTGCTTCAATAGTCCATGACACTTTGAAAATCCTTTCTGGGAGACAATCCTTTCCAAACTCCACTCATCACAAATATTATCCAGTTGTTTTGAGCACTGTCATGGGTAATTCTCCCGTTTCAGACTTTGCAGCACAGCGCTCGCATCTGGCTCTCAACGTCTTAACGGCATTAGATTGGGCTTGCATGAACAGAGATGCCAGCAATTTTGACTGACTGTGTTTCTTCTCCCAAATTCTAGGGCCGCGGAGGACGGGGCTCCATCTTTGTGTGGGCTTCGGGGAATGGCGGCCGAGAGAAGGACAGCTGCAACTGCGACGGCTACACCAATAGCATCTACACGCTGTCGATCAGCAGCAGCACGCAGAACGGCAACGTGCCCTGGTACAGCGAGGCCTGTTCGTCCACCCTCGCCACAACCTACAGCAGTGGAGGCCTCAATGAGAAACAGATTGTGAGTCTCTTTCTCTCTCTTTCTCCGACTCCAGAAAATCAGCAACAGTTATCCTTTAATTGAAGAAGTGGCGTAGCAAATCTAATCCAAAAATAAAGAATCTGAAACCAGTTGGAGATCAGAAGATAGACTGCCAAGCCAATTTATGAAGAATTGTTGCAGCGGCTTTAAAGGCTTTTTGGCTGTCAGTGAATACTGCGGTCACTAGTGAGGAGGATGACAGATGTTTTTGTCTTTATGGCCCTGTTTGAAGCTTCAGAAACACGGATGTTCTTGTGATTGCAAACCATAGCTTCTCACTATCACGCATGGCTTGGTTGTATGTTTTATATTTTAATATTTTGTGTTTGTGAATATTAATGATGTTTGTTAAGTCAAGCATCACTATTTTTATTGCATACACTTGTGCTCAGGGATTTCAACAAACCCCAGATCCGAGTATTACAACGTGTCCTAACCAGACAAAGCGACAAGCCATAAAAGCTACAGCATCTCTTCTGTGTAAATCAAATTATGCAGCTTGTTGAGGGGAGGTGTGCTATTACTAAGTGATCCGACTTACAATTTTGGCCTGGCTGATGATAAAATGGGTGAAAAAGACATTGAAGGACAGATTTTAAAGTGGTAGGTAACCACCCAGGGGCCAAATTCACAACATTTTCTTAAGAAGTTAAGAAATTTAATAAATAAATTCTTAAAGTTCGTAAGAATGTTCTCAAATATTTTCTTGGTAGACTTTGTGGTGGTTTCTGATTGTATGGTGGTTCTTCTTGCCGAAGACTCGCTCATCAACTCAATCAAAAGCACCTCAAATGGCATCATTTTCTGCTACCTGCTGATTACAGTGATAATCATAATAAGTTCACTCTGTTTCGGCGCGACTGGCTTGGCGGGAGCTCAGCACTCGGGGTCATGTTTCAAAAATAATGCGCCAATTATAAAATAAAAACAAGATCCTTATTTGACTAATTTTTATAGAGTTATTTACTAGGGCTGCAACAATATTGTCGCAATATATTGCAATACAAAAATGGAACAATGTGTGACAGTATGTAATGTCTAACAACATAATTCTGTATTTTTATCTTGGAAGAGTTAAAATGGGAATATCTCTTTTCTGCTTAATGAACTCCCTTTTGGTGACTGTTTATCATATGCCTTAAAAATACTTACCGTATCGTGAAAATATTGTATCATGTGAACAAACAGTATATTGTAAGGAGCTGACTCGTGACATCACCCTATTATTTACAATGATTTTTAAGAACATTCTTTTTAGGAATTCTAATTCTTAGGTTTTGTCTTTGGAACAATCTTAAGAAAAAAAAAGATAAACATTCTTAAATGTTTTGGGAATACAAAATATTCTTAAATTAGATGTTTTGGGAATACAAAATATTCTTAAGTTAGAAAATAGATGAAAGTAGTAGTTAGGAAGAATTTTATTCTGAACATTCTATTCAAAACATATCATTTTGTGAATCTGGCCCAAGACCACTCAAGCAACTGGATATTAGTGCTCTAAGAACCACTCAGATCATCTTAGCAAGCACATAGCAACGCCCTGGCAACACCCTGGCATTGTGATGCTGATATTTGCAAGATTAACTACCTTTTCTAGTTCTTTACTCAAGTTTCAAAGCACAAATATCCCTATGATTCAAAACAGCAACTCCTCACTGTCATAGCATGACATTTTCTTTGCTCTCTTTCGGTTTTGTTTCTTTACCCGGCTCTGTGCCGACCGAGGCGCACACCCAAGCATTGTTCTCATAACCGACTATGCCTGACTGACTCATCTATTGTCCCGCATTCAAGACACAGACACTAGCGTTCACAATGGAGGTGTGCTTTTAAAGGCCTGATACCTGCTGTTTCCTGTGCTGCAGAGACTCTGTCAGGCAATGTTCCTCTCCTGGGGTCTCCCAAGATCCATTTTTAAGTGTGCAATTGCTGAATTCTCCTGTCATCGCTCCTGTCATTCAGCCTCTGTGCCATTTTTAGCAATTAGTCTCACACAAGGAGGTCTGTCGCAGTCACTGCACATCCTGCAATGCCTGGCTTTTTAAGTGTCACCCATCAACCCTTTTATGTTTGCATTTGTCTTGAAATGTGCTGACTCTGTCTGTGTGACCCTAAGGGCTTAAAGGTGCTGCGCAATGTCGAAAATGTCAAACACCTGGGTCACTTAACGGGCAGAAGCTGAATGACAGTTTTATATTTTCCTGAAGAATATGTGAAGAGGTGTTTGCCCATGCAGATGCTGATGCAAGACTTGTTGCCAAGGCATTGATATGCAGTTGCTAGGAAGTTCTGGGTGGTTGCTTACTGGCCCAAGTGGAAAGAGCTCAATTCCCAAGTCTCTATGAAATCCTTGTCCCCAGACAATTTTTTTTTCTCCTCCAAATTCCCCTCAAAAACCATTGAGAGGATCAGTTTGATCAGTCATATCAGTTTGAAAAGAAATAGCACGCCGCTCCTCAACAACTCTTGATTTAAGGTATCAGTTATATCTGTAGCACAAATGGTGAGTGAGGTACTAGTTGCACATCAAAATTTAATGTTTGAATTCTTGATTGTGAGTATCAACAAATAATAATAGCAATGCTAGACAAGATTAGTGAGATTATTAAAAGGGTCATGAATTGAGAAATCAAAATTTCCCTTATCGTTTGACATACACTACTGATCAAATAATAACATTTAATTATTTGACTGGTAGTTAATTATATTATATATTAAATAAATATCTTATGTTCACCCAGGCTGCATTTTTTAATACAAAATATTTAGAAATATGTAAAAAAATATATATAACTGTTAATACATTCCAAAAGCGTATTTGGCATCCTCAGTGTCACATGATCCTTCAGAAATTAATGTAATATGCTAATTTGATGTTTGAGAAATATTTCTTCTTATCAATGTTGAAAACAGCTTTTGCTGCTTAATATTTTTGTGGAGACTATCAAAGTAAACTGCTAAAAAGAGACAGTACTTTACAATGTTACGTAAGATTTATATTTCAAATAAATTGTTTTTTAACTTCTTTTTTAACTGATCTTGATAAATGCATTATGGTTTTCACAAACAATAAGCAGAATTATGAATATTTATGATCAGGTGTCACCACTGCCCTGTGCTAATTCAAACAAACATTCAAATTGAACTTTTCTTCATTCAGGCTTGATTGTTTGAAGTGGTGTCCTGCAGAGTTTAGCTCCAACCCCAATCAAACACACCTGAACAAGCTAATCAAGGTCTTATAGCGTACTATAAGCAGAGATTGTCTTACTATAGGGAGATGAGAGGGTCTGTATTACTTACTATTGGAGAAAGCGTAACGGTCAACTTGGATCACGTGTGCCTTAATAACCAATCACATTACAGCCTCGACGTCACTGAATTTCAGTCAGAGTTGTGCGACACTCAATCGCCGTTTACGGATCCCATAGGAATGAATGAGAAATGCCGTAAGCTGTATCCCACCTGTTGCAAAAAGTCAGTGACTTCTCTTAAAAAAACAGCATTTTTTCGGTGCAAACTCTAAAAATAGTTCAATCCTAAAGTATCGCTTAGTGTAAAACATGTTGGAGATTAGCTGATAGGCTGTCGATTCATTAAATGATACGCTGTTTCCTCTAAAAAGCTGTTTATTCTGCCTCTCCTTCATTGACATCCATAAAAAAAAAATGGCATCTGTTCTCCTTTCCCACATACTGCCAAAGCGGAAGCGTTAGCATTAGCCGTTACGCTTTTTTGGCTAAAGGTTGCAGGCTTGCCTTCTAGTGGCTTTGCTATAAGCTTCCAGGCAGGTGTGTTGAGGCAAGTTGGAGCTGAACCCTGCAGGACAGTAGCCCTCCAGGACCGAGTTTGGACCCCCCCTGCATTAGCCAATCACAAACACATCTGACTGGCCATTGCATTCACATGCTCAATAAACATGTTTATGATACAAAAAAAAAAAAATCTGATGTCAAAATTGATCTTGGAGTGTAAATGCAGACTAACAGACGTGTTCTAGATAACGAGTTTCTTTGTTGTTCATTTTATTACTAACATTTCACTTGACCTTTTTAAAGCTATGTTTACATAATTAAAAAAGGTTTATTTAAGTCTACATGCGGTGTTAATGTATTGTTTATTATTATTATTTAATTAATTATTTTATTTATTTATTTTTTTCCAAATAGTTAAATAGTTCCTGTAGTTTTTGCTATGGTACAAAGAACCGTGAGATTTTACTGGTATTATGGACTACTGAAATGTTGGTACTGTGACAACAATATTTGTAGTATTGTGAGAGTATCAGATTGTGAATTCAATATTGTGAATTTGAACCTTTAATCATTACAAGCTCAATATGTTTTTCACTATGAAATATGGTCTGAAAACTCGGGGGACAGGGAAGTCTGGAAATTTGAGGCTGGAAAAGTATGGAATTTTGAAATGGAAAATGTGTAGGATCCCTGGCCTCAGGAAACATTCTGAAATAATAAAAAAAAAATGCATTTCAAGACCTCTTTAAGCTTTTATCATCTTTTGTGAGTGACTTCATTGTCATATCAGTACAATGTTGGTATTGTGTTCCCATCTGGAATAATTGGATTTTCCCGTCATATCAGTGATGTGATGATTTTCTCTCTCTGCTTCCTGTTTCAGGTCACTACAGACCTCAGGCAGAAGTGCACAGACTCCCACACAGGCACTTCTGCCTCGGCCCCTCTGGCGGCAGGAATAATCGCCCTCGCCCTTGAGGCCAAGTAAGTCGTCCGAAGCGTGGTTTGTCCTGTCCTCAAGCGAGGTCATCTTTCTTTATCAGCGATTTGAGTGACCCGAGGCTTTCGCAACAAAAAAAATGGTTGCAGGCTAGATTGGCAGACTGGAATTAACCTTCAAGTTCTCATTTGGATCAAACACATGCATTGAGCGGCATTTACGTTTGCATCGTTTTAAATTAATTCACCGGCAACAATATAACCTTTATGACTCTACCTGTAGCTATCCGTGACCTTTACAAAAGGGCAGGAGAGATTATCTTAGGGAAAGCATGCAAGCGGTTTGTGTTTCATTCCACCAAGTATCTCGCACATTTGAAAGGCACTAACACTTCTCTCCATAGTAAAAACTTGACCTGGAGAGACATGCAGCATCTGGTTGTGAGGACGTCCAACCCTGCCCACCTCACCACCAATGACTGGAAGACAAATGGAGTGGGTCGCAGAGGTAAAAGCCCATCTCCTTGCTTTTCATCACTCCCTCCCCTTTCCTTTCGCTCTGGCTTGTCTTTCCACTTTCCAGCTACTTGAACGTTTTGTGATTCGATCACTAACATTATCATTGACTGTACCAGTCTGCAAACCGCTTCGGATCTTTTAAAGATATCAACCTCTTTAATTCACCTCTTTACTTATAATGTCTTTTTATGTTTTTTTTAAACTGGTTCTAAAGTTACTTTCAACAGTATTGATTTTTCTCTCTCTCTCCTACAGTCAGCCATTCTTATGGATATGGTCTGCTGGATGCTGGGGCCATAGTGGCTCTGGCAAAGAACTGGACGAATGTTGGACCTCAGCGGAAATGTGTCCTTTCCCTGGTGTCTGAGCCCAGGTAGGTTAAACTGTCCATACTAGATCAGTCTTAAAGGGACTGGTTCACCAAAAAATGGCAGTTCTGTCATCATATTCGCACCTTTATGTCCATCCAAACTGAATGTTCACACTGCTGTTTTCTATACCGTGAAACCATCCGGTGACCAGGGGCTGCCGATCTTCAAAAAGGGCATGAAACTCTATAACCTAGTCCAAAGACAAGCTATAATATGACCTTTTTGTTTGACTGCCTTAGTCCTCATTCCCTTTCATTGCATACATAAGATCCTATAACTTATGTTATGCAGATCTCAGAAATAAAGTCATAAAAATGGAAAGAAAAATGCATTTCATGGAATCAGAACAATTTTTGAATGAAATTAATAAAAAATGCGGCAACACGTTTTATCAAATTTAAATACGATTCCTGGTTAACTGGTTTGTCAAACAGCAAAAGGCTGAGAAATTTCATATTTAAATTTTTTAAGGTTTCTGTAAGATTTTTAAATGTAAAATACATTATTAATAAAAATACAATAAAAACAGTAATTTTTTAACAATTTAAACTAACTCTTCAATTTGAATATATATTTTTTGAAATGTAATTTATTTCTGTGATGCAAAGTTGAATTTTCAGCATCATTACTCCAGTCTTCAGTGTCATACGATCTTTCAGAAATCATTCTAATATGCTGACTTGCTTTTTTAAGTATAAAAAATTATTTAAAAAATTTTAAGCAGCATGAGCGTTCTGCAAAATGTCGTACAGGTTTGGAACGTGAGGCTGAGTAAATGATGACTGGATTTTCACTAGACCATTTGTTAGAAGGAACTGCAGTCTTAATTGATTCTTCACTAACATATGGCAAACTGAGGTTCTTCGATGCACACAAATGGTATGCGTTAAAGTTAGGGTTGGAGATTTCGCAAAGACTAGCAATAGCAAGCTAGCTTTGAAAGCACAAGATCCCACCCTCCCTGCATAATCACTCTGCAAAGCCACACCTCCTCCAAAACACATGAGCATGCACAGGCAGAGCAGAGGCTAACCAGCGACACGATGAGAGACGGCGTTGGTGGAGGGTTGAAAGCAACACTGTCAGATTACCTCATGTCTCATTCACCGGTGAGAATATATTACAGTACAAAGTGTGCATAATATTATAGTAATAACGCCTTCAGTTCTCGCTGAAACACGCTGATCAAGTATCATGTTTGTGCAAACAGGGTGTGCAGAGGTATTCAAAGACATATTTTGACAGGCAGGCAGGACAGATCATAATGTATGGACCGAACATTTTGATTGGACCAACATTTTATGGTCCTACGCCTTCCACAGATGATATTAATACATATAAATAAATTCAGACCATTTAACTTAGTGTAAGAAGTTCCATTAGGTACAGCATAAGTGTACGTAATACAGTGAGCTTGACATTATTACTTTCTCTTACTCTTACTCTTGTCTTTTCTAACATTTTAGACATGGTTGGTTACATGATACTTTGTTTTAGAATTCTTTGATTTAAAAAAAGAACAACATTTATTTGAAATAGAAATATTTAGTACTTTTGCTCAATTTAACACATCCTTGCAGAATAAAATTATTAATGTCTTTCAAATATAAAATCTTACTGACCCCAAACTTTTAAATAAGTGTATATTAAAGATATGAAAACCAGCGACACGATGAGAGACGGCGTTGGTGGAGGGTTGAAAGCAACACTGTCAGATTACCTCATGTCTCACTCACCAGTGAGAAAACATTACAGTACAAAGCGCATAATATTACAGTAATAATGCCTTCCATTCTTACTGGAATGCGCTGATGACGTATCATGTTTGCACAAACAGAGTGTGCAGTGGTATGCAAATATATATTTTTTACAGGCAGGCAGGACAGCCTATCGTAATGTTTAGACCGAACATTTTGATGGGATGAACATTTTATCCTATGCCTTCCACAGATGATCTAAATAAATTTAGACCACTTAACTTAGTGATTGCTATCGGGATGTGAAGAGACTTTCAACTAGCATAACAAAAAATGTTTTTGAACCAAATCACTTACCTTGCCTTTAAATTTAGTGCTGCGAAAAAGATCATGGAGTGCAAGAGGAAATGGGAATGTGAAACGAGCTGGGAGCGAAACATCACTTTTGACGGCCTATCATATTTAAATTTAGATCTGCACAACTTGAATGATGCTTCAGTGCATGAGGCATCTCTGCTGCCTACAGAGCATGTTTAAAGGAAGTAATGACTTGCAGATAAGCTTGTTACATCCACGTTTGTCACACTTCCATCACTGCTGACATCTTGGAACTCAAGACTGACCCTCAAAGTACCTCTCCGCCAATCTCGTCCTCTGTCCCAGCATATCATGTCTCGCTCTCTAAAAATTCACCCTCTTTTTATCCCTTCCTCCAGTCATCCTTTATGGTTCACCAACGTTATGGAAAGATCAAGGGGTTTTGGAGCAAAGCCCAATTTAACATGCTGGTTGCAGAATTCACAGAGCGAAGTGATTACGGGCTGCTTCAATCCATCCCTGCTGTATTTTTCTTCATTTTTCACTCGCAACAGCTCCGACTTGAAGTCTTGAACATGCTGCAGCGTTCTGTGCACAGAGGGGTTACGCTTCATTCCTCATGGACTTGTCAAAGACTGTAGCCTGTCGTTCTCTCTCTTGATTTAAGCTCTTCTTCCAGTGTAACCCTGTCTCTGGTGAGCAGGGCCGGGCTGCTCTAAGCTCCTTATAGGATTGGGTTTAGAGTGGCAAAAGCCTACCGGCTGCTGTAGCGGACATCGGTGGCACAGGTCTTAACCTGACTGAACCTTTCTGTTGGACCAGGAATGTGTTTTGCACTCTTAAGTGTTGTAGCAGCGGTTTGATATAGCGCTCCTGATTCAGTAAGCTGTTAATTTTTCCCAGTAGCTATTAGTAATGTCAATTTGATGCATCAGCTATGTACAAGTAAACACAGTAAAGCTTTCACAACATTGCTTTGTTTAACATAACTTCTTAGGATATAATTACCTCTTTGTTCAAACAATGTTTGGAAATTTATTAAAGATTTATGCTTATGCTTTCTTTTGAGACTTAAGTAAACATTTGGGTAATTTGCCATTTAAAAACATTCGACTTTGCATGAAGGTGTGTGCTGTTGCTTTTATAAGCAGTTGAACTAATCATTTTCACCTGGTGGATGATATATGGCACTTTATAGGATGATCTGAACCATATCTAGTGTTTTTTTGAGCTAGATTGTGATTCTTGGTAGAGAGAATATTTTGATGATCTTACACCAGTAGGATTTGGGGTCAGTAGGATTTTCAACAAGGATATATAAAATGAATCAAAAGTGACAGTAAAGACTTTTACATTGTTACAAAAGAAATTCTATTGCAGATAAATCCTGTTCTTTTAAACTGTCAATTCAACAAAGAATGTAAACATAAGTAAACATAGAGACTTCTTTCAAAAGCATTAAATCTTACAGACCCCAAACTTTTAAAAGATAGTGTATAATGCATTCATAATTAGATATTAAGCAGTATAACTTCATTGTGGTTTAACTGTCAGTTCTTGAACACCATTTTCCTCTTTTTAGGAACATTGGGAGTCATTTGGTGATCAACAAGAGTGTGGATGCATGTGCTGGGACGGACACCTTTGTGAGCTCATTAGAACATGCTCAAGCCCAGCTCACCCTGTCCTACAACCGCAGAGGAAACCTGGCCATCTACCTGATCAGCCCACAGGGCACCCGCTCCACACTGCTTGCACCCAGGTTCGGCACTGAAAGGGATGCATCCACACTCATAATACTCAAATAGAGCCTAGCTGAATCACTTAAGTGTAACATTCTCTGTCTCTTTCTTTCTCAGACCTCACGATTACTCCTCTGATGGCTTCAGTGACTGGGCTTTCATGACCACCCACTCCTGGGATGAGGACCCTCGTGGAGAATGGTCGTTGGAGATCGAGAACGTGGCTGGGATCAGTGACTATGGTAACAGCTCGTCCATCCATTTTGCTTTTTTTTTTGTGCTTCTGACGTATGGTGCTCATGCGGGAGATTCATGTTCAACATATTTGGACCTCTAGTGTACAGTACCCTGATCCCATTCCTGGTATCTTTCCGCAATGTTGTCCTGACTCATTTCTTTTATCTACTTCTCTGCTAATAAAAAATGGCAAACCTACTTTAAAAAAGATCATAAAAATAAACCAAATAAAAAAAAAAAAGATAAAAGAGCATTAGGAAAATATAATTATAAATAAAAATGATAATAAAATCAAATAAAATCGAAAAGTTCATAAAAGAAAATAAAAAGGCAATAAAATAAAAGATCATAAAAAGGAAAAAAAAGAAACTGCCTTGAAAATGATTAAAAAGAGCCCAATATTGATTGTGATCCAAAAAAAAGAAGGCTATTTTATGTCTAGCAGTGCTTTGCCCTGCACTTTTCAGAAATGTAGAGTATCTTCTCTCCAAATCCGCCTTATTTGCCCAATCCTGTTTTCTTCCTCTTTTATGTCACAGTCAATTTGTCTTCCTTCACCACACCCTGCAGTAAATCTGATTAATTAAATCTAGCTAAGTAAATCAGAGGACCGAGTTTTTCCTCCCTCTCCCACTATCACACTCTCCAGCCGCCCCTGAACACTAAATATAAAGGAAATCCCAGCCAAAGCCCATTCATTAGTCCTGCTCAGACGCTAACACAGCTGCTTTATGCCTGGATTGAATGGACCATTCGTCCAGTGCATTACTTAGTCCATTTCTCTTTGTTGCTTTAAGAATTTACAGAGCTACTGACTTTATTGGACTATAGAGACAAAGTGTGCCATCTATCTAATGCATGTCGAAGCAGTGCGGAACTACAGTTACTGAACGATGATGGCAAGAAGTCTGTGTTCGGACATTTCGTGTGCCGTTACAGGGCACGATGATGATCCAACTTGAATCTTCTGAGTGATTTGTGTTAGTGGGCACAAAATGAGCATGATGTACTGGTGAAAATGTACAATCAGACATTGTCAAAATAAAAAAAGGGGAGTGTTGTATACAATTATAGAATACCAGTGGAGTTTTTTTTGTATTTGACCTATTTTATACTAAATATGGCTAATAAATATTGCTTTTTAGTTGATCAAGCATTGATAAATGAAACTAGCACAGCCGTGTAGGAAATCATTACCTGTGACAGTGGTCATTTATGCAGTTATGGTCATTATACTAAAGTATGTTAATGCAGAATGACCAATCAGAATGAAATATTTCAGAAATGTCATTCCTATATTATATATTACAATTGTAAAATTTTCTGATATATACACATATATATGTTTGAACTGTATGTGTGTCAGGTCTAATGAGCTATATCACTTAAAGAATTGTTTATTGTGATTATCATTAAGTAATATTAAAATTATTAATTTATTTTAATTATTAACATAGTTTTGTCATTTTGATTTGCTGTCGTTTGAATTCATTAAGCTTTGAGATGCCCCGCAGTTATAAGTTATAATCAGTGTTATTTTAGTATCATTGAGATTGTTTTATTATTTTTTTAATATATTTTTTCTGTATTCATTTTCATTGTAAAGTTTTAGTATTTTTTGTTGAGTGTGTTTCTTAGGCAACTAGTTAAAATAAAAAGTTTTTTTATATTTGATTTCAGTTCATGTTTATTTTATGTTAAATAACAAAAATGTTCATGTTTTTTTTTTTTTAGTTAACTTTGGTCAGATCACTAATGCATTGCCTTTTGTGGCTTATTGCTTTAATATCTCTATTCTAACTTAGCACTATTCTGGTTTACTTAAGAAATCAGCTCTGCTAATATTGTTTGCTTTTGGTCGGTTGCTTGTGTTGTTCCTAATTTGTTAGTTGACAGCATCTGCTGACTGAATAAATGTGCTTACAGTATAATACAGTCTACTGGTTGAGAGAGATTACAGAATGAACACAGACATAATGATCCACAGCTGGCAACTGTTCTCATTTTGTGAGTTTCTTGTGTACATGAGTCAGATTGTTGAATCTCTTTCTGTCTGTCTTAGGCACTCTGACTCAGTTCACGTTGGTTCTCTATGGCTCAGCTTCTAGTTTATCCGGCTCTTCAGCAGCAGACTCCAGCAGCTGCAAAACATACGACCTCAATCAGATCTGCACAGGTAAGAGTCAGAGTAAATGATGGTGAAAGTGCGCCCCCTGGCAACCACTAGTGGCATTTACTAGCTGTCCTCCTCGGTAACTCTAAGCTGTCTTCAGACCTGATTCTGTGAGAATGGTGTGCTACCATACTACTCATATATACTCTTCTGCAGAATGTGTGCTGTGCACATTATGCACATTTTCATGCATGGGACACCTAGATGAGCTAATGCATTTGCCAAAATGTGCAGTTTACAACTAAAGTGTAATAAAAGCAGTGAACACACACCCGGAGCAGTGGGCAGCCATTTTTTTGCTGGGGCGCCCGGGGAGCATTTGGGGGTTGCTCAAGGGCACCTCAGTCGTGGTATTGAAGGTGGGAGAGAGCGCTGTACATTCACTCCCCACCCCTACAATCCCTGCCGGTACAAGACTCGAACCCGCAACCTTTGGGTTACGAGTCCGACTCTCTAACCATTAGGCCACGACTTCCCCCATCAAGCTACAGGATGTTACACCAGTAAAGTACACCACACACAACTATGCACTTGACTTGACCTTCCATTTCTTGTTTAACAAAACAATATAAACATCATTTAACATCATCTTGATTCATTATTTTATTTGTCGTCTAAAACATTTGGACGTATTTTGCATTTAATTTTTCTTTCTGAATTAATCATGTCATGTAGTGTCATGCAACAACAGTGAAGCTTGCTACTGTTTGAAATGTTTATCGTTGTGTAATTACATGCATATCATTCTGTTTTACGTGCTATCTTTAAGAAATAGTATGCAGTATGTGACACCGAAGACTGGAGTAATGATGCTGAAAATTCAGCTTTGCATCACAGGGATAAATTACATTTAAAAAAATATTAATATAGAAAACAGTTGTAATGTAGAAAACAGTAGTTTATGGTCAAATCAATGCACCCTTGGGGAGCACTTGAAAAAAATCTTTCAACCCCAAACTTTTGAATGCTAGTCTATGGTTTTACAAAATGTTTATTCATTCATAAATAACAATAAATAATTAATAAATAACATAAATGTGACCTTTATAATCTCCTCACTAATTGAAAGCTTTAAACTAAAGCTATAAAGCTTGCAGCTGTTTTTATAGGTCCCTTTTTCTTGTGTTGAGAGTGCTGTGCTGGTCATGTCTTAGCTGTTAAATTGTGTGTTCATAACTCCATCCTGGAATTAGTTCACAGTGCCAGCTGCATTGGCAGCCGTGTTCAAGGCAGCTGTCCAGTTAAGCCTGCGGCCATGCCCCTCTCTGTGGACACTCATTGCCAGCTCATTCTTACCTCTTCACACACACACACACACACTACTCTTTCAGCAGCATACCTCCTTTCATCAGCTCTTTCCTTTTTCTGTCCTCTGCCTCCTCCACTGGCCGTCTCCTGTCCTCCTCTGAATGACACCATGCTAAAAGGATTTCAGTATAAATGCTGAAAATATGGTCTTCACCTCTTTTTTTGTATACAGTGATGGGCAGAGGTGTATGTAGTTGATTTCTCTCCCAATAATACATTTCTTAAAGCCTGTTTACACAGTCTACACTCTAAAAAATAAAGGTTTCAAAAGGGTGTTTTCATAGTGATGCCATTTTTGGTTCCCCAAAGAACCTTTCAGTGATCAGTTCTTAAAAGAACAATTTTTTTTTCTAATGTGAAGAAGATTTAAATCATTTAAAGAACATTTTTTCCATTATAAAGAACCTTTTGTGGAATGGATAGATTCCATGGATGTTAAAGGTTCTTCGTGGAACCACAGATGCCAATAAAGAACCTTGATTTTTAAGAGTGTAATGCAGCTCAGCCTCTTATCAAACCCAACTTATTCTGGCCAAGAACTGGCCACTTACACTGGAAAAGTCTGTCTGACCGACACATTTATCTGAAATTGTTGATACAACAATACCGCACCAGCTTGGATTTCATAAAAGCAGTCTTGTGACAGCCTGGTAAGAGGACTGTATTTGCAGGTGGACTGGTGCACTCAGAGGAAGGAGGTTGCGTAATGCTAGCCAAACTACTAATTTTCAGCTAGCAATTTTGTGTACAATATGCATCAGGCGGTTAGTGAACAGATGTAGGGTGGGCTGGATTACACAGATACATGCCGTTTATGTCGCTGAGGCTACATGCAACTAAACGACACAATAGTCTGAGGCCAAATTTCTGTCAAAAATGGAAAAAATTATTTTTTATATTCAAACAAATAAAAAATGTAAAAATTACAAATCATACGTTATTTTGGGTTAAAAAAATAATTGTATTAAAAATCATTTATTGATTTATTTATATTACTGACATTTTATAAAATGTCTTAATACATTACAGGGGGCTCTGACTTACAGTGATTTTTACCACAGTTAAACAGCTTTTAGCAGTGTTATTTTAGTATTTGTATTTTATAGTATTTGTTAATGTTTTGAATTAGCTTTTATTTTTATATTTTCAGTTTTAATTTTAGTTTGTTATTTTGTAAAAAGCAATATTTATTCATTTTGAATTGGCTTTTATTGATATATTTTCAGTTTTCATTTTAAATTTATTTTAAGCTGTAGTAATTTTGTAAAAAAAATTGTTTATTATTTTGAATTAACTTTTATAAGTTTTAGTAATTTTATGTGCTTTTGTAATTAGTTTTTTATATTTCTATATAGATTTAATTTGATAAAAATATAGATTTTGTTTTAGTGATTTTAGCACTTTGTCTTAAAATAATTTTATTTGATTTAGTTGCCAAGGCAACATGTCTAAATTGCATTTACGTTTTTTAAATTGTAGGTGTTCATCTAATGTTTATTTTATTTCAGCTTCATTTCAGTTCATGAAAACAATTTTAAATAGTTTTAGTTAGCAATAACAACACTGTCTTTTAGACACTTCGTTACGCCGCGCATAAGAACACTCTTAACCATGGTAAAATGACTGCAAAGTATGGCCACTTATTGCTTTTTGAAATCTCATATTTGGTGTCAATATGTGCATTGTTTGTATCAGCAAAAAGCGCTTTGTGTGTATATGCCATGTGGGTTGCCTTAACTGCATATGAGTCTCAAAGAGTGATCCAGGAGTTCTTTATTCTACTATCCTCTTGTGACGATGGATTGCATGTTATCTCTAATATGACCTCCGCAGCTTGAATCCTCTCCAGGTGTTAAGCACTGTTACCACAGCAAACCCAACATGCCCAACCAACCCATAAAAAGGGATTTTGCGCTGAATAAATGCCATTTAGTAGGTGAGCCTTTGCAGTTGTCAGAAGATGCTGACTTGGGTGGTTTAGTAATTACTCCAGAAATGGGGCTCGCATCGAGCAAATCTAGGTCCTTAAAGAGGTAGTGTATACTATCTCCAACCAGGAGAGGTCGCTAGTTTCCAGCCGCTCCCCGTATTAATTTCAGCGTAGTAGGACCAAGCGGCAACCTCCTGCTCTCTCTGGTGAAGCCAACAAGGAAGTGACTTAAACTGTAATTCATCAACTGGCCGCTAGCGGCTGGCTGCAAAATGGAGTCAATCCCATAGACTCCCCATGTTAAAATGCCCAACTTTACAGCAGAAAGTGTGGCTTCAGCAACCTGCTCCCGTCACCGCGCTGCCAAGATGGCGACGGCCACCTCCGCCCACTTTTGAGCTCTACGGGTGACGTCACGGACACTATGTCCATGTTTTTATGCAGTCTATGAGTAGGACGTGCACTCTAATGTAAACATTCACTAACATTAGCAAATAATGAATGAAAAACTGACAATCAAAACAGTATTTTTCAGTCAAGATGGTAAACAGATTATCTTTTTACCAAGTTCAAGGGGATACCCATATGTTTGGGTTGTTTGGAAATCTGTATTTTATTTAAATCGCCATCACACCACAAATTTCAAAGGTAAAATTCAGTCAACAAAAGCTTTTTGGCAAATGCATGACAAAAATGTTTGCACTGTGTTCTTATTAGGGTTTCCGCGAGTCCTTAAAACGTCTTCAGTTAAATTGTTTACATTTAAGGCCATGGAAACTCTTAAATGGTACAAAAAGTTTAAATTATAAGAGGTCTTTGGGGACGGAAAGACAAGAATTGCTGTATGGATTAATATGTCGATTAAACTTCAAAAGGCTACGATTTCACTGAATAAACTTGAGCGTTGCAGTCAGCTTTGTGTACTGCAGTTACAGGGGAAACAACTATATTTCTGCAGTTCTGAAAGTAACACCTGCTGGCAGAGAACAAATTTGCTTTTTCAATAAGCCCATCTGCTATTTTTGCTACATATTTTTAAATGTGAACCAGTGGCTCGACACAAAGCTAATGCATTATAAAAATCTAGCAATTAAGACATTAAGATATATTTATGTTATTTAAAAATAATTAATTTATGATAATTGTTTAAATTAATATAATAATTGATACTTTTGACTCATCCCTTTATTTAAAAACTGTTTAAAGGCTGAAATATGAAGTGCAGATCTTAAAAAGTTCTTTAAAGGTCTTAAATTTGATTTTAAAAATCCTGCAGATACCAGGTTATTTTATGGTACCATTTGGAATAACTATATATTTTTTTTAATTAAGCCCTTTTTAATTTCTGTCCACTGATAACAACGTTTTCCTTCTGAATTAGCATAACTGCACAAGTTTTATAGTTAGTAAAATTTTAAAAATATTACATTAGTTACACTTTAATTTCCTTCAATAAAAAGGAAATTGAGTAAGACGGTGTAAAAGGTGTGTGGACGTGGATTAGTAATCTGGCCCCTTGGTATAAAGGAGAAAAAATGCTGGCCCTCGTCACTATCAAAGTTGCCCATCCCCAGACAATAAATATTAAAATAGGTTTGCACACTGTATTAAAGGTATAGCCTCAAAACTTTTATGCATTTATACATGCTGACATGTTTGGTAACCTTGTCTGCGCATATCCATTCATTTATCTTCACAGTCTGCAAGTCAACAAGCTTGACAAATAATATGTTGATACACTTCTTTTTCCTTTTCTTTCAATATTTTTAAGTTAATATTTTTATTTGTTTATAATTATTATTTTATTGTTGTTTTTACATTTTTTTTCAACCATTTATTTGCGGTTTTTCACTATTTTGAGTATAAAAAATGTATCTCTTTTTTTTTTTTTTAATTAATGTATATTTATTTTTAAAGCTGTTGTTGTGACAAATTAAATACTTAACATTAAGAAGGCAAAAGTGGGGTTAAAAAAATACAATTAATTTATTATTCTATATAGTAGCTATATAGTATTCTATATAGTATCTCAGTTAGTGATGAGGTGATAAACAGATTCGTATTAAAAAAATGTGACCCTGGAGCACAAAACCAGTCTGAAGTCGCTGGGGTATATTGGTAGCAATAGCCAACAATACATTGTATGGGTCAAAATTATCGATTTTTCTTTTATGCCAAAAATCATTAGGACATTAAGTAAAGATCATGTTCCATGAAGATATTTAGTAAATTTCCTACCATAAATATATCAAAACTTCATTTTTGATTAGTAATATGCATTGCTAAGAACTTAATTTGGACAACTTTAAAGGTGATTTTCTCAATATTTAGATTTTTTTGCACCCTCAGATTCCAGATTTTCAAATAGTTGTATCTCTGCCAAATATTGTCCTACAAACCATACATCAATGGAAAGCTTATTTATTCAGCTTTCAGAAAATTTGTGGTCCAGGGTCACAAATGTGGTTTTAAATGGAGTCCAGCATGTAACACTGCAAAACATGTCTGCTTCCTGAATGTACGGTCAACAGCCCTTCAAAAAAAATAAATAAATACAAGCTTTGCTTTTCCTCCTTTAAATCCTCAGGAATTCTGGTCTCATGGACATCCATCCAAGTATAAACGGTTTGGTTTTTGGAGTCAAGTTAATTTTCTGTGGAAATCAGCAAAACAGTTTAGCTTGTATTCAATCCAGAACCATTTTTAAGCCTAAACTGTAGCCTGTTTCTTCCTAATGCAGAGTGCAACCCCGGCTTCTACTTGTACCAGACAGGCTGCGTGAGAGACTGTCCAGGAGGTTTCACCGCAGGCACCCGTTCCACCTTCCTCCCCAACAACGAGGTGATGTCCGTCCTCCGTCCCGCCTGCCTGCCCTGTCACCCCGTCTGCCTCACCTGCAGCAGCACGGGCCCTCAGAACTGCCTCTCCTGCCCACCTAACAGGCACCTGGACGCCGTCACTGGCACCTGTCTGCACCTGAACCAGATCCATCGGGAGTCTCCAGACGGCAGACTGTTTCAGATGCAAGGTGGCGACTCGTCCGTCAAACTCCATGCAGAGCTCACCTCTCGCCTGCCTGTGACCGTGGCTGTGCTCAGCTGTGCCTTCATCGTGGCTACGTTTGTGGCCGTGTTCGGCATCCTGCAGATGCACACGCGCATGCAGAACAAACTGCTCTCTGCTGAAGCAGGGCCGGGATCCGGCTCACTGGTCGGGTTCGGTTTCAACCGCACCGCAGTTGCCTACAAGGGCATCCCGAGCGTTTGGCGGGAGGACGAAGGCAATTCCGAGTCTGAAAACGAGGAATTCGAGATCCGCAACGAGAGGACTGCCTTCATCAAAACACAAAGTGCTCTTTAACCCCTTCTTACCCATGTTCCTCCCCTCTCTAGCCTCTACTGCACTGTTGTCTCTTTTATTAGTGTGATTTCCTTCTGGGGTTCGTCTGAGCATATCTCACTTCTGGGGGTTTTGTTTTTGGCACCTGTCGTAGTTATATGAGCCATGATTCACCTGGGCGTTGACCTCTCGGTGCCTCAACATGGAAGGCTTCCAATCACAAGTGACGGGGATGAGTCGATTGTTGCAGGTCCATCCTGAATTTACAATAAACATGATTATTGTTTGGTCTCTTCCTCTTGCCTAGTGAGATTTTAAGAAAAAACGATTTATTTGCATATGAGAAAAACCGAGCTTTTCTTTGAGTGGATGAGTAAGTGTGTGAGTGTAAACTACGTTTATATGAAGTCAGTCAGTGCTGCAGTGGGTCAGATCCACTGGCTTTGCACTGGGAGCCTTTTAGAAGAACATATCACTATTTCTACATGGTCAGAGGTGGAGAGCAGAGCAGTGTGTTGTGTTGTGTGTTACATGCATTTGAAGAGCTTACTGCTCCCCCTAGAGCATCTACATTGCTGAATTTATGATTATTTTATGTACAGTAGGCTGTTTAAAGGAATAGTTCTCCAAAAGATGAAACCTGTCATCATTTGCTCACCCTCATGTCATTGCAAACCTGCATTATTTTCTTAGGTGGAAAATATTTAGCAGAAAGTCCAAATGCCTCTATATCTCTGTGTGCGTGTGTGCGTGCGTGCGTGCGTGCGAGAGAAAGTATTTTATGTTTGTTATAAAATCTCATTCAAAATGTCAAAATCATGGCATCAAACCTAGTGTGATTCGTTATTTTGTAATTGTTACATTTAATTGTTTAGTCTAGAGTGAAAATAGAAGCTGAATATTTGTCATTGTCATTTTTTATATATAATTTGTGTGTATATATATGTATATGTGTGTATATATATGTATATATGTATATATATATATATATATATATATAATACAGCACCATAACATACATTATATATTAACTTTTGCACTGTGTTCTCAGATCTCAAAAACACAAATGGCTTCTGAACTTCTGAAAATTTTCCTCATAAAATGAACATGATACAACTTTTATGGGCAACTTTTATTATCCTTTTTTATTGCTCTGGTGATTCTTAAGTGTCTTGTGTTTCTTTAAAGTAAGATCACATGCAGGTTTGAGATGACATGAGTGAGTAGGTGAATATGGTAAATATTTTCATTTTTTTGTGAGTTTCTTTGTGAACCGCAGTATCCCTGCACTCTCTGACCGTACCGTATGTAGGGGAGAAAACTCTGATGTCAGTCAGTCCCTCCGAGTCAGCTCAGCAACATTAAGCTCTTCTCTTTTCTAAATCTGTCCTCCAGTCACGGTTTGAAACACTACGGTCCCGGCTATAGGCCTATCCTGAAAAGATCTGGCTTCCATGTTGTCATGTTTATGGGGATCATCCACTTATGATATACAGATGTTGGAGTTGTTGTTCTGCACAGTATGGGTGTGTTTTTGAAATAAATCAGAGAAAGGGCTGTGATGACCCTCACCCAGAGCAGCTGTCAGATATCACTGGAGTTTTATAGATGATTGGTTATTTTTATCTGCTCAAGTCATTTCATCAGGTCTTTTTCTTTACTTACTACTGTTTGTTGTTAGTAGTACGCTTGGCCTTGTCAGCTCATCTGCCCAGAATATAGTACTGTTGTTGTTGTTGTTGTTTTTTTAAATATGAATCACATATACATAATCCACATATGTTGGTCTTATGCAGTATCTTTACGAAATTACAATGTTATCTATGGAATCTGTGCAATAGAGACCCAACAGAGTTATGTGATGATGTGCTGATGGTCTGGCTTCCTTTATCATAGATCAAAATGATTGTCAGTAACCGGTGAGCACTATCAGCCTTTCAGAACCATTGTTTCTAACCCTAACCTTAACTGTGCAAAACAAAGACACAAGGAGACAAACTACTTGCACCATCTTCAGCCTTGCTTTAGTTTAGTTCAAACACTTTTTATACAATTAATACATCAAGGCTCATCTTTATTTTAAAGTGTGTCCTGTTCATCTACGCAGTCTGTAGACTAACAGAACATCTTCATTTACGACACCCTACAGTTTCACGGCTGTTAAATATCATGAGACCTTACAGTAATGCTTATTTGTTGATCTGGCACCTCCCTGTTCTTAAACCAAGGTTCAAATTGGAACTTTTCATCCCTCCTTTTATTATTTGTATAGAGTCAAACTTGAAGCTGCAAATTACTATCTAGCTAAACAGTTAAACTAGCTAAACTTTATATATAGGCTTTATATATAAGTCTTCAGTTTATTTACATAGAATGAATTTGGGTAAATAGAGGTCCACAATTTTTACATTCATTTTGCATATATATATATATATATATATATATATATAT